TTTTGCAATTCTTTTTTTTTTTTTTTTGGGTTAAACCTGTCCAAAGCTATCCAAGATTAATGAGTACAGACATAGTAAGAAATGCCCACCTGCTTTCTTATTTTTTTTCTTTTTTAACATTCATGTTCATGCTATAAAAAAGAATAGGAAAGACGAAGGGGCCCACATGATCCTTTAGCTGCTGACTAGAAATTCATTGAAGACTCAAACTTTGCGGCAAACACACAAACTCACACACACACACGAGGGCCATAGTCGACTGGAGAGAAGTTGTTGTTGAGAATGAAGACCTGAAGACTTTGAAGTTTGACGGATTGGAAATGAGAAGCCGCTAGGCGCTAGCTAGCTACCCAAATTTATATAATTTCTTTTTTTTTTTTCTGAAAAAAGAAATATTAAAAAGACTTGTATTCTTTTGGTTTTTCTTCTTGAGACTGTAGTCTAAATAAATTAAATAGTATTACACTGGTGACGTTCGTGATGTGATGTTGGAATAAATAATGGTCAATTCTTTCGACCAAATTTAATGAAAAATAATAAAAATTGTCTGAATTTCCAAGGTTGACTGTTGAACCTTTGAAACTGCTGTGAGATTTGATCATGCATGCATTTTGCTAATACAGATCTTTGAATCAAATATTCTTTGATTCCCTTCCTAATCATGATCAAGTTTTGTACTTAGCCAGCGTTCTCACTTCTCACTTTTACGTCTACAACATTGGCACGTGCACCCTCACAGTTTAGTCAACTTGGACCCTAATTCTTTAAACTTTGTTCACATTTTTTCTTGCTTCCTACGATTAATATTTTTCCAAGAACAAGAAGTCATGGAGTAAAATTAATTACTGTTGCCGCTTATAGATATTTTATAATTATGCTATATGTATATTTTATTGGAAACTTTCTCACCCTACAATGGCAGAACTAGGCTCAATGGTTAGATCGGTTTCACCGATGCATGCATTAGGTATTGTTCACACTGCTACACCAGGAGCCAAAACGGGAGTTTTAAGCATGTAACAAGTACTACTCCGACAAATGACGGAGGCAGAAATTTCAGACGCATTTCTAACAAAAATGTGTTTTTTGCTTATATACCAATAATATCTTTTCTTGAGAGTATATATGACGAAACTAAAAACATTTGGACGCACTTCTTGCTCAAAACTAATTAGTAGAAAATTTATATATCTAATATCATTATCAAAAATGAAATTGCTAGTTTTTTACTGCAGCTACAAGATTTCGATTTAAATGGGAAAGCAGAGTTGTGAATGACAAAATAATCATTACATCGAGCTCTATAATCCTATATATGCATGAGAATGGATTTTTTATTTTTTTGAAAAAGGCATGAGAATGGATTGGTTCTCCTGATTCTTGCATCTCTACAGTGTGATTATCCTGGTGGGTGCAAGATAATGAGTTATTACTTGTTCTCGCACAAATTGATTATTCTAAAACTAAAAATATAAATTGGACAATATTATTCCGGAAGGAAGATAGCGGAGTTTATAGTTTTTGTGCTGGAAATCAGGAAAACTTGATTCAGCAGTTCAGCTATGCAGAATTGCGCATGCATAGGCAACATACAAAAGACTTTAACTATTTAACAAATGATTATTCAAACCATTTTCCTTCGGTTCTTTCGGGCTCAGCCTAGCAACTCCATCAATAATTAGCTTTGGAAAGCCCATTTAATTGGAAAACAGAAGCATGTAGTTTGAACTTCAAATTGATACTGGTAGTCAAGCCGGTGACTGGCTAGTCCTGAATTATTTTCTCTTTGTGTAATTTAATGATTTCCCTCATTTTCGAAGCTTGTGGCTGCGTTATGATGCAAGGTTTTTGCGATGTAAGCAGCATTTTGTATAAAAAAAATAAAAATAAAAAATTAATAGGTCACCGTCTCTAGAGGAAGCACTAATTATTTTCTTCAATTTTTCCTTCAGAATTTTGAGAAACTACCACCCTCTTAAAGAGTTATTATTTTTCTATATATAAAATTTTTCTGGTCGTCTAGTGAAAACAGTAATTATTCATACCCAGAAAGACACGGGGTTGAATATAAATCGAACCAGTACATTATTACTTCTTTTACGACTATTTTCAGAATAATTCTTTTACGACTTTGAATAAATACAAACATGACAGCTCAAATTATACGTAATTTGATCCTACCTTTGAGTAAGCATATATGTATTGACATGTCCACACCCCCTCCCTCCAAGCCAATGTCAAATTCCCAAATGGAAATTCTCTATTCATTTTCTTAAATTTTGTCTACACTATCTAATTTAAAATCTAATTAAGTTCGACAGTGGCAATAATAATAATCATAGCCATGCTGAACTTGAAATATCTTCACATGGAAATTTAACTAGGGACTTAATTATTTCTGCATTTTTTCCATGGAATTTTTGTACATCGTCCCATCATGCAAAACATCAAAATCAAATTATTAAAGTCATGGTTTAGACCCAAAATGAGTTCCTCCCCCCTCCCAATACAGAAGATACAATGTGTTTGGCGTTACTTCTGTCCCATCACGTTTAATGATAATATCCCAGGTTTTAATTAGTCTTTGACAAAGAAAAACTCACCCAATTAGTCCCTCCATATACTGAACTCAAGGAATAAGACCCTCTTCTTATATATTAATTGTTCCTCGTGTTACAATAATTTTAGATGCTACTTGTAGTCACCACTATTTAGTTTGGTATTAATTCACACTCAGCAAAAAAAAATAAAAAATAAAAATCATCACCCGAAGTAATAACTGAATATCAAGAGTTTTCAGAATGTAAATGTTAAGAGACTGCGAGTTTAATTCTCACAAAATGTAAATATCATGAGCCCAATACTGCTCCCTTCTCAGTTCTCACTAAGACATTAGTGTACGTTGTACAACTACCACCACAAAATTTCAGTTTCAGCCGATTGAAATATTTCGACCCACTGAAAATTCCCCAAATTGGTGGGGGCATTGATCGGAAAAAAGGAAAGTGATGATGAAGAAGCGCAAGGTGGATGATGCACAATTTGCACTTCACGAAATGGAGTCGTTTAATCTTGGGTTTCAAGTTATTAAAAAAGAAAAGGTACTTGAAGAATTTGTGGATAAACACTAAAGGAAGATTCATGCAAGCTGCATATAATCACATCCCACTGATCTCTTTAATACTACTAAATTTTAATAATATCAAAATGCACCAAATGGGCAATGGTGGGAAATATAGTAGTAAAATGAAAGGGGAGGGTTCTTACCGACTTCGTGCTTAATAAAGTGGTACAACTAGAAAACTGTATAATTAACCCATTGCAACAGTACTTATTTTGTGACATAAAGTAATACGATAGATTCTCAGGCTCAATATCCAATAATAAAAAGAGTTGCATTTCAAACAAACATCTGATTTCTGAAAAGCACTAGCTTTTTTGTTTTATAATAATAATACTATTAGTATTATTCATGATAAAGACAAAAGCGTATGCAGCAGCAATACTAGTAAATTAATCAGGCTCATCATAATTGAGGATCATTATCTTTACTAGGCCCCTACCCATTGCATCAGCTGTGACGATTAAGTTGATATTATCCCATTTTTAATCAATATAACCACGAGGTCTGACAAAAAATGAAGAAAGACAAAGATCGTTTGATTTAAAAAGCAATTAATTAGTCGGAATCAAAATTGTAATGTATCACTCTTTCATTGTGGCCCCCCTCAGCTGTATGACTTGTATTCTTGTTGGTTTGCAATGTTGTATAATCACAATAAACAAGCACTCTAACTATTTTACAAAATAATCTACATATAAATACAATGTTGATTTTTTAAGACAGAGAGAGTAAATTTAATTATATTCTAAAATATTTATTTTGATTATTTCATTATTTTCATATAAATAATCAAACATAACAATGTTTTAGAATATAAATAATCAAATATTTATTTATTTTTTATTGTGATTGATGACCTAGTTTTTTTTTTTTTAATACAATGCCGAATTTGCATTACAGACTTTTTAATATCTTTAAGGCCCGACATTCCATTTGTTTGCTAGTAGAATTGTATTTTTCTTTTGGAGTGGGCAGTGGGGCTATTACAATTGATCGTTTGATCCTACCTTTTCATTAAACGCAAAGAGCGAAAAATTGACAACAAAATACTGAGCCGCAAATATTAATAGGGAAAAAAAAAAGAAGAACAAAGTGGAAACACTCTGGCGCTTAGATCGATTCATGAAAGCGAAGAGACACTGACTAGTCACAAGAACACATCTTTACTTTTTTGGATTAGTATTTTTTTCTTCATTTCTTTTGATTTTTTATTGGTACAACTAGCATTGCAGTAGGGTTTGGTTGCCTCTTGGTATATGCTTAGGGAGTTCTGTAACACTTCTGTTATGTTTGTCCGACTTCCATAGTGAAAACACACTGCTTTACATCCCACAAAAGGAAATATATGAACTCCTTGGGAATAGAATTAGAAATTAACTAAAAAGATTAGTTAAATATAATGAGGTCAGGGATTCGATCCCCGCCCATGCAAATGGAGCAAACTATTTGACCAATCCCCTACCGCTTCGTGTGCTGATTATAGGACGGAGGATTAGTTTTCACGCTATCGACGGAAAGGATACCTTGAAAAAACAAAAAAAGAAATTAACTAAAAAGGAAAAAAAATATTAGTATATAGTTATTTTTTTTCTTTTACAGTTTTTACAAATACCTATACTTTTATACGAGTGAATTATATGGGGAAAAAAAAACATACTATAACTATTGGAAAGACTCAATGCACACTTTTTTCACTTGTTCATTCAGTACTTAAAAGAGTCTCCTGTTTATAAAACTACGTAATTATTGCGTGAGCTACTGTTGAAAATCAAACTCAAATCACCAAATATGACACTCTTGGAACATTTATAGCGTATAAAATTTGCTGTAGAAATTACCTAGAGAAGCCTTTAATTTGACATCATTTGAAGTTCACCTGTAGCCATACAGAAAAAATGCATGATAGGAAGGGAAATACATTGTACTATAATTTTCTTTGCACAAGCGGTTACTAATTTTGAATGAAAAGAACAATATCAACCTGATACAATGAAAAGGCAGAGCTGGCAAATAAAACCAAAGCAGCCTATACAAATCATGCTGTTTAGTTTCTACTACAGTCTCTTTCGGTCTCTTTATAGGAACATTTAAAAGAATCTCACATTAGTCAAATTTCCACTACGAAATCAGAATACATAAGAGTTTAGTTATCATGTCTACATTTTGTCTTGAGCCTCCAAAATATTACTAACTCAAAAAATGCAAAACAAAATCACACACTTAATCATAGTTGTTACACTCGATAATTGATTCAATTCACTTGGATACATTATGTACACTACTCCGTGGCAATTACAGGAGTCACGCCAGCGTCAGCAGCTGACATCATCGTCCCGACCTGAGAATTGTATTTTTTATATACAGTATTTGCAAAGAAAACAAGAAAAACAATATAAATGGAAATCTTTATCAAGCACGTGATTCAATCACTTGGAAACAACTTGCCCACTTGGGCTCACTAAAATGAAATTTCAGAGAACCCGACTAAATCAATAAACAATTCACACAAAAGGCCAAAGATATCAATCTTCAAAATCCCGCAGGTGCATTGAATCATTTCCCCTCATCCTTCCCTCTTTCCTCCCCTATATATCCCTTCCCTTTCCATTTTCTACCAAAAAGTTCCAGAAAAATAAAAAATCTGCTTTCTCTCCCCCAAAAACACACTGTACCAGTAGCATTCCCTTCAATACAACAAACCCAAATCCCCATTTATTTCCCCAATTCCTAAATTGTTGCTGTGTTTTCTCTGGATACCCATTCAATTACTTTTGGGTTCTTCTGAAAAAATGTATCAGCAAGTTATGAATGATTATCATCTCCCTCCGGCCAGTAATAATGTACCGGGGGATTTTCCGGTGTACTGCCGGAGCTCCAGCTTCAGTAACCTCATCCCATGCTTAACCGAAACTTGGGGTGACCTGCCTTTAAAGGTTGATGACTCGGAGGACATGGTCATTTACGGCCTATTACGTGACGCCGTTAGTGTTGGATGGAATCCATTTAATCTGGCGTCGGATGACGCCAGCCTCGATGTGTTCGACGTCAAAGCCGAGCCCTGTGACGAGTTATTGGAAGCCACAACCAGCTTCTCTGCAGTTTCTACTGCCGGAATTGACCAGCAATTAATGCCTGCGTCTCCGGCTCCGGTGGCCGGGGCTCCGGCTAAGCAGGCCCACCCGAAAGGTAGGCACTTCAGGGGAGTCAGGCAGCGGCCGTGGGGGAAGTTTGCGGCGGAGATAAGGGATCCGGCGAAGAACGGCGCCAGGGTGTGGCTGGGTACATACGAGACGGCTGAAGAAGCGGCTCTGGCTTATGACAGAGCGGCTTACAGGATGAGGGGTTCTAAAGCCTTGTTAAACTTCCCTCACAGAGCTGGATTGAACGAGCCGGAACCAGTGAGGGTGACGGCTAAGAGAAGGTCGCCGGAACCGGCTGTGTCGGGGGTTTCATCGGCTTCGGAGAGCGGCTCACCAAAGCGGAGGAGAAAGCCGGTGAAGGCTGAGCAAGCCGAGTCGGAAGTTGAGAGCCAATCGAATGTATTTCCGGTAAGTTGTCAAATGGCACAAATGCCAGTTGGCGAACAACTATTGGTAAGTTAAAAGTGGAGAAAGAAGAAAAGTGACAAAAAGCAAAGAAATAGTGGTACCAAAACCAAATACCAACTCCGCCAAAATGGTTTTTGGATTGTCCATCAGCTGTCTAGCAACTTGCCTACCCAACAAAAGGCCGAAGGCTGTACTATAGTCACTTAGTTTGGGATATTGGTTTTGGTAAATGAATTTATCTATACCTGAGGCGTTTGGGCGTTTGCGGCTTGCCTAATATGGTTTACCTTGTTCCGACATGAGAAGGGTTAATTTGCACATGAAAGTGTGATTAGTTCACTCGTAAGAGTAAAAGGGGAAAAAAAAGGACTACTCTACTAGTTTGGTTTATTTTGTGTGAATAGAAATGAATTTTGGGTTTTCTATAGAGTTTTAGTTGGACTTGGCCCTTTAAATCTCCCAAGGGCCCTTGTAAGCAATGAAAATGAATCAGCTATTTAGATGACCGAATTCCAAATTTCCCAATTATCTTCTCTATGTGCTATGTTTGGGCCATCGAAATTGTCGTCGTGTCCCATGACAAATTCCAAAAGCTGGATAAAATGATTCTGGTCACAAATAATCTAGTTTCCCTTGCATTCAATAGCTGTATCCTAATTCACAAGTGTCTCGAAAGGAGTTCGGACAATATTTGATGTATTATGGAACATGCCTTTGCAACAACTTTTGATAGTTGTTCTTGATCAATTTCTTTTCCAATTTGATTAAGTTTTGTAATATGGTAGTTCTTGTTTATTACAACAAAAAAAACTCATCTACATTTTCTCAAACCTGCTTGTTGAATCAAATGACAAAAATAAGGGTAGGATATAGTCATATTTGACTACACTATCTTATTACTGCTCTCTTAATCTATCCTAAATTTCTTATCCTGCTACTTTTTTTCCTAACCCATCCTAAATTTATTATATGCTAATAATTATATATTTTTTCTTTCTTAGTTTATGATTATAGATGAAAAACATATAAAAATGCTTTAAACTCTAGTATAAAAGTATTAATTAAAATCCTTTTTTTTTGGGTGAACAATTAAAATCTTCTTACATGCTTTATTGGGTATTGCTATATTTACATATTTTCTTGACCCGAAGCAAGAGGAAGTAAAAAAACAATTTAAAAGAAGATTTGAAAAAAAAGAAAAGGCAAGATGCAAAAAAAGGGTTAGTTTTTTTTTTTTCCTTTGAGGATGAAAAAAAAGTTGTGCGTGGGCAATAGGAATAACCGAATAGGTATTTTTCAGAAACTAAGGAGCGTGTATACGCGCGAAAGCCATAGGACAGTTTTTGGCCATTGGACTCATTTTTCCTATAACCCGGTTTTAACCTGGACGCACCTGCGATTTTTCTTTAAGTCCCCGAATTAGAATTATAATTATTTGCTCTCACAAAAGAATTAAAAATAAAGAATTAAGTCCAATCTTGAATTATAATTCCAATTCCGTAACCTTTATTTTTGTCAGCCAAATACAAGAATTGCAATTGAAGGTCTTCAATTCTAATTCTTGGGTCCAATTCAATCCAACTAAACAGAGCCTAACTGAAATAAGGTTAGTGATATTGCCAAGGCAATGATTAGCCTCCCGAGCAATTTCAATGTGTCTTCCCTAAATTACCCTGACTTCAATTTCTATCCGATTCGAGATTCATCATATGTCCATTGTGTCAATTATTTCAATTAAATTCTCCCCACTGCACCAACTAAGCTCCAAAAAATATCCTCAACTTATTAAAAATATAATCGGCGACATTACATAGATTAGATTCAACTTTCCTCAAAGTTAAACTTCAATAAAACTTTTCCATTTACCATAAAATCCGATCCAAACAACACTATTTGGGGTTCTAATATTTAGCAAATTTTGCTTATTTTTCTTCTCTGTTTTTTCCTCGGGTCACTTTTCATTATACTTTCTTGATTTGTGTTTTGAGTTGTGGATTTTTGCTACAAGTTATAGCTTAATTTGAATAAAGGTTTGCTGAAATTGGGTTCATCTGTTAAAGTAAGATGTGCATATAAACTTGATTTCTGAATGTGGATTTATTCAATGTTTGCAATTGCAACCCTAAAATCCAAACCACGAGTGCCCTTAGATTTTTAATGGGTTAAAGATGCGAAGGAGACAATTCTGAGTTCATATTTGGGGAGGCCGAGAGGGAAGATAATTGAAGATGCCGATGAAAATCATGATGGTGATACAAAAAAATTGCTGCCGGAGAATATGATAGTTTCAGTTGGGTAGGAAAAAAAGATAGGGAGAAAGCAAAATTAATGCTTTCAGGAAAAAAAAAAAAAAAGAAGCAAAATTAGGCATTGACTTATTAAGGGTCATTTAAGAAAAACACATAAAATGTTTTGGAGGCTAAAAATTGCTTTGACAATATCGTCACCCTTAAAATAATTATACATTTCAATACCATTTTCAACTATAAGCATTCAACATACGAATATTTGTCAAAGAGGAGTTGCCTTAGTGAAGCGGCTTTACATCAATTGCTTGCATGATGCGGGTTCGACAGGAAGGGAAATAAAAACTCATTTATGCCATATATAAAAAAAAAAACAAAAACAAAAACCTAACATGTCAGTTTAAATGTCATTTTCTAAATGATGATTCATATCTTTAGATATGTATTTCACGGGCCATTTTATTTTTGGTTAGGTGCCTGAATAAGGTCGTTTCACGTGTTTGTCAAGACACTCCACGGTAAAATAAAACATGGAAAATGCGGGTATCTACTAGTCTGGATTGGAACGAGACAAAATGTATTTTTTTTTTTTTAATATTTGCAGGGTGTTCACCGTCGGCAAAACTGACTAATCCCCTCTCACTGAATTGTAAGCACTTCGATAGGTGAGACAGTTGGTCAAAATATTTAAAGTTGGTCAATGTACATAGCGAGATTCAAACCCTCGGTCTATAGTTAAGGGTGCAGGAGTCCCCTTCATTTTACCACAACTATTTTGGTTAATGTACTCCCTCTTTTCACAATGTATTCACTGTATTACTATCTATCTAGTATCCTCCCTCCCGTTAGCCCTGTCGGACTGACGGTTAATTATCGATCATAAATTCGTAATGTCTTCAGGGCAGGTTAATTTGATGATTTCTCCCATTTTTCTAATTTAATTTTTGCATTTTCTTAAGTATTGAACGCAACAAAGTCCATGACGATATTGACTAAGGATTTTGAGTCTCTGTTTCCCTTATAGTGGGGTTAATTACTTTCTTACTCTAACGAAACTGTCAAAACCGTAATAATGCAAAGGCGGAAATTAAGCCTGACCAGTTGAAAACGTAAAGACTAAAACAAGTCACCAAATGAATAATTATAAAGAAAAAGGCCTGTATAATTTACGCACAAATGTCAACATGAAATTCAGGGCAGCTGATGAATTAGCAGAAATTACAGGTACAAAGTCCAAAAGTAATCATTCTATTCTATTGAAACGTAATTCAATTTTGAAAATGAATTTGATATTGGACTAAGTCGGGATAAATGACTAATTAAGATCAATTTTTTCTCTGGCCATATATATACAGGTGTCCATTGAGATAGGTGAGTATAATCAGGTAGATATTTGAATTTAGATTCATCACATAAATTGTTTATACTGGAATTTATGACCGAGATGTTGGTTGCGCCTATGGCTGGTTATCATAATCATTAATTAGATTTAGCAACGTGTGTATAGTAAGTCAACATCCAACTAACTCGTGTGCTAAGATTTACTAAGAAATACTAGTACGAGTGAGAATTTTTTGTGCATATACTTTTCGCCGCACACACATTTGAAAGGAACATAAAGAGTATGAAAATAAAACCCAAATAAATCTGGGTTTCATACATTGAGAGTAGTGGAAGAAGAAGACATCAACGGGGAAGACTCTATAGATTAGTGTTTTTTTTTTCTTCTTTTCTGTTTTCAATATCTTGGATATAAAGATATTGACTTTTTAATCTAATTAATTTCCTTACTTTGTGGTGTTCAATGCACCTCGAAAAGTCATTAATTGGACAAGAATATCCAAATGTCTGCATTGATATTTTGGGGGGGGGATGCAATGGTGATAAGATCATAATAAATATCAAGATGGTTTTGGTGTAGACTGTAGACCTTTTAACCCTGCTGTATAAAATTTTACTGTTTTATTTACTTATATGTATTGCGTTTTTCTAACTTATTGAGACTGCAGTTTGTCAACTTTGCTTTAGATATACACTACTTGTAAAACTACTTATGCATTTGTGATTTGTCAACTGCCATGCCATTCATCTACGGTAAGTCAGTAACGTTTTACCAACGCAGTAGAAAATACTGGTGTTCCTTTTACCAGACCCAAAGAATGTACAATACTTTATTCGCTTCCTTTGATTTAATTTTTTTTTTTTCAGTTTTAGTATAATTTGTATTAAAAAATAATATTTCAATTATTTTAAGATGGAAAGAGTACTAGTTATATGTTAGTATCAAAGTTACTCCTGTTTTCTAAATTAGAAAAGTATGCTTCTACGTGTTTTTTTTAGTTCAATTATTTCAGTTACGTGTGTGTTGTAATTTGTAAAAGTTATTTTCCTTTATTGTGAAAAATAAAAAGTTTCATATACTGAGCAAATTTTTACAGCTAATATTTAACTTTTGTCCACCTGGATTGTTTATGGGGTTTTTTTTTTTTGGTTATTTAGATATTATTAGTTCTGGTTTTGTACTGCATCTTATTCCTGGATAAAATGGTTATAAAAACACAATTAGAGTAAAACAAAGTTGGACCTACGTTTAAAGCCCCAATAAACTAAAGCCTTTTTTGTTCAGGTAATCTAATCAGTATTTTGGGCTGGACCATTGTAGTAAATCATTTGGACTAGATATGTAACTGACAATGGACTTTCAAAAATTAGTCCCTCCCCCCCCCCCCCACCAGACTCCAGATTCCAGAAGATGTAGAAGATTGTCCCAATTCAGATGAATCTGATTATGTATGTCTTCACTCTTCACCGCTTGCCTGACTGTCTTCCATTCATCATCAAACAAACCCCTTTTTAACAGCTTACATCAAATGCATCCAACAAATGTAAATAAGTGAAAACAAAAGACACCGAAAAGAAACGTACGTGTCTTCAAACCAAGCTCTGTTTCCTACATGCAGCCCCTGCATGGCAACCACTCTAACACGTGACACTCATCCTTCAACACGTATTCTCTCTTCTTTCCCCTATATATTTACCACCCCCACAGTTGTACACTACTATTATCTCAATATATTCTTTCTCTTCTTTTTGTCTTTTTAATTTGTGCTTTGAGATTTTAACTGAACAATGGCGGACACTCGGGCACACTACGGTCAGCAGCCACTTCATCAGCAGATGGGGATGAAGGGGCCAACCCAGCAGCAGCCCAGGTCCCACCAGATGGTGAAGGCGGCCACCGCCGCCACTGCCGGTGGGTCCCTCCTGATCCTCTCCGGCCTGACGCTCGCCGGGACGGTGATTGCGCTGACCCTGGCCACCCCTTTGCTGGTGATCTTCAGCCCGGTGCTGGTGCCGGCGGCGATCACGGTGTTCCTTCTGGGGAGCGGGTTCCTGGCCTCCGGCGGGTTTGGGGTGGCGGCATTGAGCGTGCTGTCTTGGATTTACAGGTACGTCACCGGAAGGCACCCGCCGGGAGCTCACCAGCTGGACTATGCCCGCCAGAAGTTGGCTCATACGGCCAGGGAGATGAAGGACAAAGCTGAGCAATTCGGTGGCCAGTACGGTCCTGGGTCCCAGCAGCATACTTCTTGATTTTACCAATTTGGTCCCTTTTATTCAACGCATGTCGTGATTGAGAGTCGGTCAGGGTCGATCGTGTTTTTTTTTTTTTTTCCTTCTTTTCAATTTTTGAGAGTCATAGATGATGGGGATCATTAATGTTGTTATTATATGTTGTCATTTCTTGTGTCTTGCGTCAGTCACCTTGGAGTTTGTAATGGATGGGTTTTACTTTGTTGAGTTTTGGTGTTATTATTTTACTACTACCATCTAAATTATTCCAGTAATTGTAGTAGTTGCTTAAAAAACAGAAAAATGCCTCCATCCCAGAAAGGAATCATAAAATACTATACCAGTCTTTAAAAATTGGAGTATCTAGCAACTTAGCAAACTTTACTCCACGCTCTTACATCCGTAACCAAAAATAAATATATAGTACGAACGAACAATTGAATACTCGGAAAACAAATGAACATCTAGAACAAAAATTTGCATTTGCAATATTACAGATGAAATGAGATTGTAATCACATTTATAATTGCAACAATCTAAATGATTCTGCGCCATAAACGTGGAGATTTGAGCGGAGTAAAGTGTACGGCAACGTCCTGCAATGTGAAAAGAAAATAATGAAGCTATTTCATATTAAGTCAAGTTGAAAACTAGACATCAAGCTAAGATCTAGGCCTGAACCCTGCATTTTGATAATAAGGCACATTTCACTGATCTGTTCTTCCATCTGTGGAATCAAAGAATTCTTTCCAATCTCCCAAGCACACGATTGTACCAAGCTTGTCACTTCCAGGTTCTTAAGCCTCCATTGCACATCCTCAACCGTGGCATCAGTCTGAAATGGCTTCCCAAGAAAAGACTGAAATGGCTTCCCAAGAAAAGAAGCAAGGACAAAATCTTGGTGAAGCCAATTTTGGCTCTCTAGCCAGCATTCCAGAACGTGATCCAAAAACACGGCCCAGATTTGGCCCAAATATGGAGTTTAAAACAACTTCACCTCTGTATTTACACTTGAGAAACCTGCATTACGTGGGTGTGATTGGCTGAAGGAAAGGAAGTTCAAGGCTCTGCATAAACCAACTTGCTGAGATTTGAGTGAATACATTTCGGTATTGCTGTATTGATTAACTTTAGTTTCGGTCGACTGATATCCGATTTGCATTTACCAGAAATCCCCGCAGGAGCATGCACCCTCTTTGAAATGGTGATAGCGATTGACATCTCTAATGATAATTTCTCTCATTGTTATCTTTGAGATGAACTTTATAGCAACATGGCAGTCCTCGCACACCCTGAGATTCTTAGTAATCAGCAGCTTGGTTCCTGGCGGGGTACTTATTAGCCCGAATCCAATTGCTAACCGTTCGCTGTGGCTGCATATCATTCTCCTCTTTTCATCATCATCGACGTCATGGAAAACAGGTTCAGTGTTGGGCACATAACCAGACAGTTCCATTAATCTTCCTATTCGATCTAGCTCGGCGTATATCTTGTCGCTCATAGGATGAGATGTATCTCCACAAAGAAATGCATGCACTCTACTCTTCACTTGAATCCAACTACACGCCGTGCTTTTCTTCAATCCCTTGTCTGCCATCAACTTTCTTAGCCTTGCAACTCCTTCCCACCTTCCGGCTTGTGCATACATGTTTGACAATATCACGTAATTGCCAGCATCATCAGGCTCAAGTTCGGTTAACTTCTCCAGTGCCAGCTCTGCCAAATCCAAATTTTTGTGTATCTTGCACGAGTTAAGCAAAGAACCCCAAACACCCGAATCGGGGGTGACTTTCATCTCCATGATAAGACGATAAGCCTCATCTAAACGATTGGAGTGGCCAAGGAGATCAATCATGCAAGTGTAATGTTGAACAGTAGGTTGTATTTGATAATCTCGAGTCATCACTTCAAAATACCTCCGACCTTGATCCACCATTCCACCATGATTACAAGCAGATAGAACCCCGACAAAAGTAATATGATCCGGATGCGCTTCTTGGGCCATCCGGTTGAACAAATGTAAAGCTTCATGAGCATGTCCATGCATTGCATACCCAGTGATCATAGCATTCCAAGAGACAACCCTCTTATTTACAAGACGTTCAAACAAGTCCCTAGCAACTTGTAATGAACCACATTTAGCATACATATCAACAAGAGCAGTCTGCACCTTATCATATGATTCAAACCCTTGCCTCCAACCATAGCCGTGAAGCTCCCGCCCTTTTGGATGCGCTGCAATATCAGCAGAGGCTGATATAGCGGTCACCAGGGTCGCATCTGTCGGCCTTACACCAGCAAAAGCCATTTCGCCAGCTAACAACAAACACTCTTCTGCGTGCCCATTTTGGGAGTAAGCAGCCAGCATAGAATTCCAAAGCACAACATCCCTCTCCAGGATCTTATCAAACATTTCCCTAGCTTTTACAACAGAACCGCATTTAGCATACATATCCACAAGCGCGGCAGCAACGTAAACATCCATTTCCCATCCGGTCTTAACCACATGTTGGTGTATATCCATCCCCACATTGATCTCAGAAAGGGCAGAGCAGGCTTTGAGAACAAAAGGGAAAGTAAAATTATCAGGCACAAGTCCATGATCAAGCATTTTATAGAACAATGAAATTGCAGCTTCATACGGCCCAGACCAAGCGTATCCACGAATCAAAACGTTCCAAAGAAAACGATTCCCTTTTGGAATTCTGTCAAACAGCTTGTGAGCATAAGACAAACAGTCACATAAACTGTACAGATTAATAAGCTTTGTGGCTAAATGAACATTGTAAGCTAGGCCAATGCAGTGAAACCGTGCATGTACTTGCTTTCCGTGCTTGATTGATCTCCGAGCAATCAGTGATTGAAGGAGAGACCCATAAAATTTAGTTGGCCGTTCCGGGACGTCGTAGCGACGATGAATAATAGCAGCGCTGCAAGATTTGGAACAAAATGTGGAATGAATCAGGCTTCGTACCGACGGTGATACTTTCCTTCTTGTAAGCATTTGAGAGCGCCGGAGAAATGTTTTATGAGCTTTGCAACCGGGTTTTATGAGCTTTGCAACCGGTTGACAGTATAGTAACGGGTACCGCTCATAGCTACTACCGCTCATAGCAGTCGAATTGCAGTAGCTGCGGCATCTCGTAGCCGGCACCGACGGAGTAAAGTTACTGCCTTTGTGTATATTTTGTTTTTTGACTCATTGAATAAGAACTGAAACTTCCTTCTTTATTGACTCATGAAAGGTCAAATGAATGCAGCCAGCCTACGAGGAACCGTTTTGTGAGACCTTCAAAATAATGACATATACTTTTGTGCTAGAGCCTACATTTATATAGTACAATTATGCTCAACGATGCTACAGTTTATTGGATATCACTCGGGAGAAAAAAGAAAATTCTACTTGCTGCGCCTCCAATTCACATATTTGTTTACAAGTGCATTTTCATGAAATGGTGCCCAAAAAATGCAAAACCGAAGCAACAATGGAGAGCTTGGATTGCTGCACCATTTGGGAAAGAGGGGAAAAAGAAAAAGAAAAAGACATTGATCTTCCGGTTTCTGTTTTGAAGAATATCAACTTACAATTCTCAACTACTGCGACAACAAATTTTACAGGGTCAAATTTCGAAAATAAAATTAATAAAAAATAAAGAAGAAGAAGGCTATAAAGCCTCCTGAAGTTGCAAGAAATTGGATGAATTTGTTTTTGTTATCTTCTAAATCAGCATCTGTGAGTAGCAGTCGTGACCCATTGGAGTTGAGTTTTCCATCCTTCATGTACATACAGCCTCTGACAAAAACCTATTCATCAGCTTTACTGCATACCATTGGGTCATCATTATCTTGGTTTTGCTGCCATGACTTTTCAAGAATTATATTACAATTGTTCATTGTCCGTGCGTCAAGGAGACCATGGTTCCACAACTTAATCATAAAGAGTCTCCAGCACCTACAAAAACCATACAAAGAACGATAAATCCCGACACGAACCAAACCACAGATTTTCTGGGTAAAACTGAATCTCCAACATATATCCACTGTTCATGTTAAATATTTAGCGAAAATCATAACCAAAAGTAGGACTAGAAAATCCATATTCTACAGATTTGAGCCCATCACTCCGACGTGCAGGAGGAAGATAATGCAACAACATTCGACAGATTTAAGCCACATGCAGGAAGAAGAAAACAAATCATGCAAAATTTCCCTGTTTTAAGCAGGCACTGAGACATCCAAAAAGAAAACTAAATATGCTCAACGACCAAAATTGGTCTACGGCTTAATGATAACAAGAATTCAATGGAAGAAACTGATACAGCAAACTTCTTGTGATTTAAATTACGGGCATCATCAAGGGATGAGAAGAAGTATGAAAAAATAATTTTCCTTCTTTTAACATCCAATCGTTGGGCGTCTACTTACACATGATCTTGTGAAGCATTGCAATAAGAGAAGAATGAAAATAAGAACTGCGAAAGGAAACATAGATCAGAAGAAAGAGATCAGCTACCAAAGCAGCGCAGGCGCCTGGATAAGATCCTGCGCATGCAACCTTGAAAAGGCCTCACAAGCCCAAGGGGTATGTCCATCAGCAAGCACCCTGCAGTCACAAAATGCACTTTACTTCACATAAAGAAACAAGTATGAGCAAAAAAACAGCATACTATGATCTCATACAGAACAATGAGCTATCATTACAGCGTATCATGCAAGATACCTGAAGAAAACTACACTGAAATTGAACTGGAAAAGATACAGAATTAGAACTCCCTAATGGCCCATTTGGGACATTGATTACAAGTTAGCCAACTCTCCAGCCACAGGGTATTAGTCTACTGTTATACCTACCTTATATCTTGAGAGATCAACACCCACTTAAAAGGGAAAGTTGAAAATTAGAAAAAAATAAAAGAAGGGAAGATGAAGAGAATATTACCTCTGCTTTCTGACAAAGGAGTTCCAAAGATGCATTATTCGCTTTTCATCTTTTGTAACATCCACAAAGTCATCTAACATCTGCAATGAATTAGTTGCAAAAGAACCATGAAAACAAAAAGATCAGTACCAATATCAGACAGCTAAATTATACATATCCATTATCCAAAAATAAGACTAGAGGAATATAACAGGGCAACATAAACTTTTGGACTAACCAATCCTCAAACTCAGCCAAGAAGCAAGTAAGAAATAACAATAAACTCATAATCAAGGGAACTTAAAATATACCCTTCGATCTTCAAAATCTGCAACATCATCGTCGACTTCATCCTCACTATCTCGATCTGACAGTACTTGCTCCAACGCCATTGGCTGCACAGAGGAGGAAAAAACCATCATCATCATGCAGGAGTAACTGTTCCGTACAGTTTAATAGAAACATCAACTGATATAGTTTCAGAGTCTGTAGTAACCAAGCTCAAACAAAAGATCAAAGGTGGCAGAGGAAGCTCAAACTTGTCGGGAAACAGAAAGCAAAACTCAAAAGCCATGAACTCAAAAACTGAGGCATTCCATAATCATAAATCTCATGAGTTGCTCCCATTTCCTTCTAATAGTAAACCAAACCAAAAAAAGGGACACCGGGGGTGGTTGTTTGGATCTCTGCCGATATTTGTAATTGAATTAGGAATGGCAAGCTAAAACCCAATCCTTTCGAAACTATTACAAGCAAGCACAGTTACATGTAATTTGTTCCTTTGCAAACTAACCAAAATTACACTACCTCATGTGTGTGTAGGTGTGTGGATGGGTGGGCGGGTGTGTGTGTGTGTGTGTGAGTGAGAGAGAGAGAGAGAGACGGTTATCAAGTGACATATGCCTGAAATCTTGAAGGATAATTTCATGCATTACATCAACAAGAATGACAGATCACCTGAGCTCTGTGCGAATGGAAGAACTGCCTCTTCTGCAACTGCAAACGACTGCAAATGGGAGGAAAGGAAACATGCAAACCGAATGAGGTTGAGATCATAAGAGATGACATATTTCCTTGGTTGGGACAACAACTTTGACTTATATGGTTCATATCCAGTAGCAAATCCCTTTCTAAATGGGGAAATAGTAGAAAGAAACGAAAAGAGAAACGGTTCAAACTACAAGTACCAGGCAATGTACCTATTGACCAAAGGGAAGAGAGTATATACCATAAGACCTAAAACTTTCAAGGTACTCTCTTCCCTTTGCATACTTTGGGATCAGACCATTCAATTGATAACTTCCTAGATTCTAAAGAGCAATTAATCTAAATTACATGACAGCAAATCACTTCAAAAATTCTTAGTAAAACAATCTTAACTATAACTAGTGGTTCAGCATACTTTTTGGGATCAGATCGTTCAACTGATAACTTCCTTGTTTTCGCAAACTGCAGCATGGTAGGAGGTGCAAGGTTGCTTCCAGGCAATGACGGGACAAACTCAGGATCTGCATGCGAAGGACCAGCTGAAGAGACTCCTACCAAAAAAAAAAATTGAACTGAACTCAACACACTTTGTGATAAAGTCCTACAGTTACAGCAGTCTGTGCATCAATTAATGATATTCTGAAGTTGGATAAGTTACTGAATGATGATGATCAATGCACATAAACATCGAGAGTATTCTTGCATGACTAAAGATTTCCTTTACCATTCTAGTTACATAAAGATCTAGTCCTTGCCATATTAACAGATGAAAAGAGCATCAGATATCTGAAAAACATAAGAACTGCAAAACAATTTCAACCTACATGACGCATTGTGCAAGCAATCAGGTAAACCACACATACATATACCAAGCTAATACAGTAACATTTCAACTTATAAATCTCTATCAAATGATTTGTTTCCATATTTAAATCAGTTTCCCCTTCAAAAGCTTGCGGTAACATCTTCTCAAAGTCAAATGTTCTTAATCCATGGATCCTACCCTATAATCTAAACCCAGAGCATTCCGTAATCATGATATATTCACTTCTGCATCATCTGTCTTCCACAATGCCATCTTATGCCTTATAAGCCTTTCCCATCTCTATCATGATGGCTAGCCATTGTTTACAGAGATAAAAGAATAATTTGCCTTTCATACGAGAATATATGTCTCAGAAACTCAGGCCTCTGACATGAAATTTCCGTGACAAAAGCAATAAAGGTAAATTATGACAACCCTAAAAAGGACCATAGAATGGTTTCTGATGATGCTAACATCTGATGCACAGTGGATCTAAGATGTTTTCTTAAATAACATGAGGACACTTTCCTTATAGGAAATCACATCACCAGGTTACTTGCTGGAGTTATTATTGATGATAGATCAGCTGCAGAGTTAGCCCTGATTAAGCATTTTAAAAATTTGCTAGATTATCTAGTTGGTCTGGCTTTTCCTAGTCAGTTAGACTCTTCTTTTCCATCAACTACGTTGAAATAAATCTGGCTGTCCTTTTTGGGATTTTTTCTTTTTTAAAAAAACAACACAAAGGAAAGGTATCACAAATGGTTTTTCTTTTTTGGCTAGTTGTTTAATGTACTTCTGCACAAATACGGCTTCAGCCATCAATGGATGGTCAATAAGAGCATGCCCGGCATCAACTTGAATCCCAAAGGTGCAATTGATAACATTCATAACCGAGCAACAAATTTAGCCCAATTAAAAAAAACCTTCAGATTGTGATTAAGGAAGTTAATTTAACACTATTACAATCCTCATCCAAATTTTCATTAAGTTTTCCAAATTCCCATAATGACAGAAAGCCCAATGTAAGAGAAAACTTAGCTTATGTTATTTCATACCATCAGTCTTGTCCAGAAGTTCATTAAATGAAGCAGGCAAGTTTGAATCTAAGGCAAGTGGATGTACATGGTGTGCATTCTGAGCAAGGCTCTTTGGTCTTCTGCGCCTCAATGGCCTTGAACTGCACATGAATCACATACACCCTGGTCATTACTTTGGCAGAGGTCAACTTACGAGTACTCTAGACATACCGACAAGAAGCTTAGGGCATTGCATACCAAAACAAAAATGTTTGCAGCTTAGGATCGACCCCATCTGCGATAATCTGTACATTTCAAGCAACAAAGTCAATTATGTTCAGTGTTACTGATCAACTAACACCACAAAATCATATCCCTGGAACTAAATTGTCAATCAAACTAGTAAAGATCTCAGTTGCCATAAGGAGTCTACAAACCCAGCTATCAAGAACCACACAAGCACATCAAACCCTAAAGCTTAAACTATGCACATATGCCATTTATTTGCCAACAGCATCACAATTTTCATAGTAATATGGAAGATACCGAAATGCATCCACAAGCCAAACCACATGGTTCCAAGTGTACAAAAACACAACCAAACAATAACTTGAAACATATAAGATAAAAAAGACTCTGCCGCCAAAAAGTCAGCATCTATAACCTAAAAGACAAGCAATTTCCACAAACATTTTAGCAGTTGAAGCTGAATCTAAATGTAATGCCTAGAATCTGTTTTGCAATTAGGAGTACAGAAACTCAAGAACATAAACAATAAACAGGGAGAACTGAAATGTACAATATATCATGTACTGACCTCAGTCCTCCATATGTCTGTTTTTGGAGATACATTAACAGCTTGATAATCTTCAGTCACCTGCAAGTTAACAACACTAAATTTAACAAGATTCTAAAACAAAATTTATCAAATCAAAAAAAAAAATGTTTAAATCCACGAACCCAGAATTCAAAGTTGAAGAGATCATGAGATGTTGTTAAGTGATGCCTCACACCCTGAAGAAAGAATAAAATAAAATGCTTATGAGAAACATTTCCAATACTTGACCGTTTACCAGAACTAACCCACAGGAACACAAAACTAATTATTCTTATTTAAAAAACCAATACCTTGAAGCTTGCACACTTTACCAAGCAGAAAGGGCATGTGAAGTCTTCAGTTACTGCAAGTGTACAACAAAAATTTTTACCAGTTGCAGTTTATGATTGGAACATCCCACTGACAAGGATTAAGCTTGTTAATGGTCTCAGCTTCAGTAAAGTCAATCTTCTATAAAATCCTGTTTTATTCTGCTAACTCCTTCATACAGAAACAAAAAGTACAGTGCTTCCCGGTTTTTTGACCTTTTGTTCTTAAACAAGAAAAGAAAAAATAAAACAAAATTGCTCAACAAGATTTAAAAAAAAAAAAATTTGAAAGGAATAACAACAGACGGCCAAGGAAAAAGATTTCAGTATCCCCATGGTACATGCTCTAGCTAAGTACTATGTTAAAAACCACTTTAGAAGGTTATGTAATCAGGACAGTTTCTTGAATTTGAAACTTGTCTTTCATCAGATGAAAATAAGACCACCTGGTCCAAGACATAGGGGTAACATCTTCCACATTAAATTATAGACCAAATATATTTTCGTACCAAGGGAGAAAACTGCAAAAAGAGAAAATAATCATAAAACAAAACAAAGACGAAAAGCTTTCACACAACACTTTGATGCAAACATATCACCGAGGACTCAAAAAAGGTTCGCTTTCAGTGGAGATTTAAACAAGGGTCCAATTTGTTGACATACACATTTCTAGGGTTCAGGTTCATGTAACATTTTCAGGTCCCAGGTAAAATTAAATTTAGGATTTCAACATTTTTAACCTCATCAGCAAGTCAACTTTGTTAAAATGATCCACACCATGTGAATGAAAAGAAATAATTACCTTCAGTCTTTTGCAGCTTATTGTTGTAATACTTGTAGTTAAATATTACATTTCCAGTCCTCAACCTACATGATACAACAATAAGAGCCAAGTATTTTATTAGGTTTTCTCATGTGATAAGAACAATAAAAAAGGAAAAAAGCATTATAAAATCCAAAAACTGTAGATCAACTTTAGATGAAGCTTTGAGGTGACGAGATATGCTAAGATAATAAAGATATCTCATAGATAGAATAGTGGCAACTTTACCTCATGATATGAGGCAACGAAGAGGACGGGATGTCACTATAAGAGTAACAATCATATGCTGATCTATCCCTGGCCCCCACTTCTTCTGCAGAAACGACAACTTGCAACTGCTGCAACGAAGACTTCACCAACCCAACCAAGCAAATAGAAATTAAGTTAAAAACCAACAATAAAGCTAGTAAGTTTCTAGCATCAAATAATATATGGACAGAAAGCAAGACTACCTGAGTTCCAGAAGACGCTGCTGTTTGAAAAGACACACATTTATTTTCTTCCAAACAAATAGGCTGTCCAGAAGACCCAAAAGTTAGGAGGCAAAGAAAGGCTGAAGATTGAAGGAATTTACCAAAACAAAAGGCAAAACATAGATAATCATTAGCACAATCCCTTTTCTCTTGGATGAAGCCATTACGCTTTAAGTGAAAACATGCGGAAAACAAGAAAACAGCAACCAGTACAGCAACAAAGGACCATGATAAATCATCTGGCAATTGTTACAAAAGACTACCCCTGAGAAAAATCTTCCAAAGCATAAAGTGTAGAACCAAATGGCCTTGAAGAAGCATCATAGAACCAGCTACACAGCAATCCTTAGTAAATACCAAAGACAAACTTAACGCAGCAGATGGAATTTGTCTTAGGGTATGAAACAAGAAGTAAAGACTGTTTTGACAAGCTATTCAACTAAAGTGACATCTAATTTCAATTCGACGTTAAACTTAGTGGCAGATGTTTTGTAAACAGCTCAATGAAGCATCAGACACTCTAAATGTCTACTGTAAGAAGACCTTTTCTGATAAGTAAATAGTAACTCCCTTCTTAGATGGAAGAAGTAAACGAGTTATGAATCTGTTCATGCAGCAGAAGCACAAGACACCAAAAACTACACTACCTTTTTAAAACTAACAAAACAGTGAACATGAATAAAATTAACTAATCTGCTGGGGGGGGGGGGGTGAAAGAAGAAGGGAAAAAAACGAAAGAAAAAAGAGAGCAGCTTTAATTAAAAAATAAAAATAAAAATAAAAAAGCAAATCAACTTTGCTATCTGTGCTGCCACTAATGCTTTACAAGGCAGTGCCCCAAATGACAATAAAAGCAACTAGTCAACTGTAATTTACGGGTCCAGCATACCTTCACGGAATAGGGGCGCATCTCAACAGTAGATAACATCTCAGCTTTCTCACCCAGATTCAGGTTTGGAGATTTTTCCCAGGACAGAAGCAGCAACTCCATTGGTATCTTGCCCAACAAGCAGTGTCCTTCAACATTTGCTATCACATTAAACACAGCCAACGATTAATAACATCTTTTTAAAAATAATCACAGCAACTAGAAGTTTCTAACACTATGATTGATCTGGGTCAGCACTGAGAAGCCTTCAAAATATCACACAGCATAAGGAAAGGAGATAACTTTGAACAGTAGGAGAAAAAAGTAAAAAACCGCAACCATGCAACATTCCTACATCAAGTGCATCCTAAAGGATATAGCAGAATATAACTATACCACCAACAGAGCACAATGAGCTTATCTAGGTGAAAACACCAGATATCTCTGCGACAATTTACTCCCCCCCCCCCCAAAAAAAAAAAAAGGAAGAATTAGAAAAGCTTATGGTTGAGGCACTAATTGAACCCTAACCACCCCAAAGCTGAAAGCTTTTTTTTAGAATCATTTATTTTATCCAGCACACTTAGCACCTCAGCAAAACTAGCATCAGGAAGAAGTTCTACAACATTTATGGCAATTAACAGAAGAAAAGGATTCCTGCTCACACTGAGACGAGGAAGCAACCATTGGATCCCTGCTTGCCTCCACTGAAAGAATGAGTAGAATAACTATTAACTACAAAAAGTATAATATTAATATTTCCAAATCACACATTGTATAAAATCCCTACCGCAGCTTACAAACAGAACTGAAAGAGAGCCAGATTTTATTTCTGCTGATAGCTTATTCATTTCAGGAAGAATAAATTTCGCATGAATCCCACTAACTGCTTGATCTCCAGCACAAGAGGTTAATGTGCAGCAACGGTTAAAATGGAAACAATCATAATTCTGCATAAAATCAAAGTGAGCAAATCAGGAATCTTCAGAAAAAACGATCGATTGAACAAAGATTAAAAAAATGCTTTTCTACCTCAGTTATTTCATTACTTGAGGCTGGTCTCGCTAATATTATGCGCAAAGGAAACAGATTTTGACCTTGCAAACCATAATTTACAGTTGCTGGGAGAGAGACTGTCATTTGTATCCTAGAAATGCGGGCAGTGAAACCAGATAAATCAACATGTTATCGGGTAGCAAAAATAGTAAAATCAATACAATGTAAAAATTTCTTTTATTTTGGAAAAGGAAAAAACTAGCTACGGGAACAACAAAGTGGTCACCAACATATTCAGGGGAGAGCGAAGACCTTTACAGTAACGCTAGAACTAAAATTAGATTGAAGGGTGCATAAGACTATAGAACACAAAACAAAACACTGGAAATGGGATATCGACAAATTGCTTAAGAGGTAACCTTTCACAAACTAGATTTTTGACATTATGGTTAAAAATTTACGCCGGATCAGGCCAATCAATCTGAAACATATGACTTATTAGGCTGGAAAAGTGACAAGAAATGCTATGCCCATACCAGTACTAACCACTCTAATTTGCCACTACTTCAAGAGGTCTTCTTGCTACTCATAAGAAATAGACAATACAACAAGGCAATGAAGTTTTGTCAATGGGCACACTCGAAACAACATTTTCTTTGTTTGGATGCATGGCTTTACTTTCTATGCACTTTTAACCTTTTTTAAGGACATTCTTGCAGTTTACCCCCATAACAGTTACCTTTCTTCTAAGAGCAATTACTTGAGTTTGTTGCACAGAGGAACCCAAATTTCAACAAGATAGCAATGAGCAGCCATAATGAATTTGCTAATTGTTAACAACCAAAACATCATAACCATGAAAACTGTTGGTTGAAACCTATAAACCCACAAAGGATACTGGTAAACAACAAAAAATTTAAGCACACATGAATACACCCAGTCCAAAGTGATCCATAAGATAAAATGCAATTCGGTTATGGATCCATAGCAATCTCGGGCTCATTAATAGATAATGGAGATCATGATCATGAAGACTATAGTTGCAGAATAACAAAACATGATAAATATTATCATTAATAAAAAATGGAGAAAGACAAGCGAGACAAGTTACATAAAAGTGAAAGGAAGATACCTTTTTTTGTTCTTTGCCTGTATTTTGTACCGTAAACATCTCTGAAGAAATGATGGCTGCATGATCCAGAATGTAATTTGAGAATTAGAAGTTACATTAATGCAAGTTGATTTCGGAGAAAAAAAGAGCACGAAATATTATGTTGTATAAAAACGATATTTTTATCATTCAGCACATATAAAATGGCACGCCTATAATTATGGTATGTGATTGCTTGAAAAGAAAAAACCTCTCAAAGTCAGTAAACATCTCTATCATCGAAGTACTTTGGGGAAAATTCAAAATTCATGCAAATGCTTTACATTTCTAATGGAACGGCGCTGAAGAATGTTGTAAAGTTCTACAGGTTTGCAATATATTGAAAGGCTTTCTTCAGCTGCAACTTCCTCCTCGGCAGACAATTGGGCACGAGATTCTTGACGGCACATCTGGTCTGCCCCTCTAGAACAACTGCAATTGCAAAGAGAATGCCTGTTCCACCAATTAGAACATAATAATGATGTCTATACTTGATCTAACAACCCAGATGAGGGACATAATTTGCAATCAAGAATCAAAGTACCAATAAAACAACCAATATTCACCAAGTAATGAAAAATTGTTAGCAAGCAAATGTTTGGCACTTGGACAGCAGAACCTTCAACTGCCATGAATAAAATAAATCAAGCAATCAAAACTGCTTGGGACTACAATTTTTGACACAATAATCACAAAAGAGACCAGCACTACCGCTTAATAAACAAAGCTTACGTGGTTTCACGGGCCACTAAAGGTATGCCTGGCATCCTTATTACACGATATCAGGATAGACAAGCATAGCTCCTCAAAAACTAAAAACGCAAGTTAATCAGTAAACCTGTAACAAATAAACCCACGTCAAAATTACATCTGTACAGGGTTAAAGAAAAATTAAAAAAAAGGAATAAAAAATTCCGATACATTTGACTCAGTTCAACCAACAACACCTGGGTGATAAAAAGACATATCGAGCTCAAAAATATTAAAGGCATTCATCAATTACACCCAATCACCTGCTAAATCAAGCCTTGGACAACTCCCTTCTATTCACAAGAAGCAAAAAAACATACAACTAATACAAAATGGAATCCACACACAGTTTCAACTGAATTCCCCTGGTAATTTCAAAACACAACCATCACTTTAAACTGGAATATCAAATTTGCACAAAACTAAAAAGAATAGAAGCAGCAATTACATTTACATTTTATGTGCGGATGGACTAAATAAGGAAACAACAAATATACCTTAAGGTGTCAATGATGTAAAAGCCATACAAGTTTGTTAAAACAGTTCCATTACCGCACAAGGCATTTATTTAATTTACCTACTAAACAACAAAGACTATTCAGTCCCAGATATTTATTCATCGACTAAATCGTGAAAGCGCCCACCGAAACAACAAATAACATGGAGAGAAAAGATCCAATGCACGACAAAAGCCCCCGTAACAAACAAGCTCAAGTAAATAGAAGATTAGTTCTTCGCTTTCCAATTTTACATAAACATGAACCATTAATCGCCCTCAAACAATGTACATCAAATATAGGTAGAAATCAACTGACACCAATAACATCAAAAAGAAAAATCAATTATACAAAAAGAAATAAATAAATCGCGGCTGAAATTCAAACAGCATTAAGAAGACTACATCGTAAGAGATCAAACATTCAACAATCAATCAAAGAAAACCTGGAAAACAAAATTAAACAATCCTTCGCAAGTTTCACCATATCAACCAAAAAATCCAAAGACATTGACCGGAACAATTAAAACTTCCACAACGATTTATCACCTTATAAACAGTCAAAAGCCCTAAATCCTCTCGGAATTGATCCTGGATTAAAACCGTAGAGGCGAAGACAAGAGATAAAGAGGGGGAAACCAAAGTAGCTGCTAGAGAGTGATGAGAGAGCGGAACGGGGATTTAAATATGAAGTAGACGGGGTTGACAGAAGCGACGGCGTTCGGTGGAATCAGGTTATATGAACGCAAGACTGCTGACGCTGGGATTACTGGCTACCGGCTGCCACTTTGCTGAAAGAGAGATATAATGGGCCGATCTGTCTGTCAAAAACGACGTTAGCCCCGTTAAATCGTTATTTCAACGGCTAAAAAATTGTCCCGTAATTCGGTAATTGGGATTACGGGAATTGGAACCCACGGTAAGTGGAAATTAAAAATTACAAAGATATCAGTCGTCCCATTGAACAACAACAAAATTGCATAGAGTTACTAGCAAAATTGTTTGCATCACTAAAACAAATTAATATTACCTCCGTCCCACAAAAATAGTTCACATTAAATTTTTAGTTTTGTACTATTTTTAATATAAATTTGAAAATTCAATATGAATTATTTTTGTGGAAGAAGAGTACTAAATTTGTTCATTTTTAAAGGAAGATATCTATGCATGAATCTGTTTTCCTTTTTTTTTTTTTATCTAAAGATAAGTGGCACACATACTTGGCTTATAAATTATCGTTAAATATGTCACCAAAGTCGTAGCTTGACATGGCACAATTCTTTTAATTGGGACATTTTGCGAATCTTTTCTCCAAATCCTTAGAACATATACACACTACTAGTCTAAATACTCGATGCGTATCAATATCTTAAATGTAAGTGCAACATAGAATTCGCTATCAAATTATGCAAAGTGATAGTTATTTATTTTACTTTTTCTTCGGTGAACAAAACATTGTAACTGAATTCAATATATGTTTTCCATTAAAGCAATTAATTTTGTTTTAAAAATTCCATAATTATTATCAAGGTACCATACTTGCAGACTTTCAAAATATCTTTCTATAATGTATTTGTAACTTATATAAAGATATTTTTGAATAACTTCCTTAGAATATGGAATATGATCGCTGTTCATGACTGACTCGTTTGATGAAGTGCTATTTTGCATGAATAATTATGTGTTTGTTCACGTGATGACAGAATCTAACCGCCTTAATTTATTGAAGTTCATTTATGTCTTTTTTCCCCTTTTTTCATAAGTTGGATTGCTTAAATCTCGTTAACTAATGTAACCAGAGTGATAATGCAAACTCTTAATAACTTTAAAACCCTAAAAACTACGGCAAAAAAATAAAGGGACAATGTATCGGTTCCATCGAATATCTCTGATTTTATATTTGGACTTTCAGGGATTTCATATGATATGAGGTTAATTTTATATTTTTTTCGTCCTATAAATATAGTGCAATTTTCCTCTACATTTTGATTTTCCGGGATTTCTAATGATTTTTTATTGTGCAGTTTTGTCATACTCATTTTGGAACAGGAAATAATCTTTCATGTAATTTTTAATTACTTGTTAAAGTTGTCAAAAAACAGGGCTAAAATGTAATACTAGTAATTCTTCTTAAGTTGTATAGTACAGTACGGATTTAGATGTAAAAATTGATCAATTATCTGATGCAAAATAGTTGTATTATACTCCTCCGATCTTTGATTTTGTCTTAGATTTCACCTAGTATATTCCTCCGATCTTTGATTTTGTCTTAGATTTCACCTAGTATGTATTTTTAATTGACGAAAAAAATTTAAAAATATAATTTGACATTCGATGTATTCTCTTGATTGTTATGAAATATTTTTAAAGATTTTTTGTTAATTAAAAATACGTACTAGGTTAAACATAGGACAAATCAAAATTCCTTATATCAAGGACCGAAGGAGTACTATTATTACTATTATTACGTTAAATGACATACATATCTAAAACAAACTACCTACGTAAATGAAGTACGTGGTTCTCGTTAAAAGTGAAGTGATCGAATAACAAAAGTAGGCAACACCAACAACAAGGCTCTATCCTAGACCAAAAATTAAAATAGATATCAAAGTTTGTGCAAATTTGTACGATATATATAAGATCTCTCAAATTAGGTCCAGTTGTAGAAATGGATGTAATCTTTTTGTGCCCAAAAAAAAAAGAGCTTATATAGCGAGAGAAACTGATTGCCAAGATTTGTTTTGGACAGAGAAAAAGCCAAATTCACTCACGCATGGAATCAAATTAGTAATGAGATTGGTCATAGGTTGGACAGAGGGAACTAATCACGCTCCGAACAAAAAAAGATACCTGGTCATTTTAGACCATGTTATTCGGTTCCGCTTCAACATTTTCGAGCATAATTTTCGTGGGTAAGATATAAAAAGGAATGGAGACTATTATTATGAGGAGGGAGAGAGGCACTGAGGGAGGAGGGGGATGGCCAAAGCGTCATGGCGGAGATCCTCATCAACCTCATCATCATCATCATGCACTCCTTCTAATAACAAAGAGATCAAATTATTTGGCGTCAAAATCATCCCCGCCGACGACAACGCTGGCGGCAAGGCAGAAGATGAATCCCTCCGCAAGTGCAAAAGCATGGGGAGTTTAGGTGCATGCATTGTGGAGGAGGAGGAGGAGGAGGAGGATAACTATATTAATGATGATGTTGATCATCGCGTTTGCGGGTACCTTTCCGATGGCCTCATTCACCGCTGTTCCCGCGCTAAGATTTCCCATGACCGAAGAAAAGGTTGGTTGCATTATTAGTTACTTTATATTTTTCCTTCCATGATCCACAACCAATTATTATTAAATATCAATTGTTGCCCGATCGATCCACATCCACAGCATTATTATATTTGTATGTGAAAACTCTTTTATAATTTTTGAGTCTAATTAATTAATGAATTAATCAGGCAAAGCTTGGTCGGAGGAAGAGCATCGATCATTTTTGGTTGGTTTGGAAAAGCTAGGCAAAGGTGACTGGAAAGGTATTTCCAAGAACTTTGTTCATAGCAGGACTCCAACTCAAGTTGCTAGCCACGCCCAGAAGTATTTCCTCAGAATTTCTGCAACCGAAAGGAAAAAAAGAAGATCCAGCGTGTTCGACATTCCTCTGAATGAAATGGTAACCCCACTTTTCAAGCTTCTTCAATTTCACTGGATCAAATTTCATAGTTCCCCTTTTTTTCCCTTTTTTTTTTTTTGGTGTGTGTTGGAATGTTACAGGATGCAAGTTCTCAAACCTCTCCTTCTATTTCCCGTTCCCCCGAGGTAATTACACTGATATTCCCTCCGTCCCGAAATTATTATCCGATTTAATTTTCACTTTTAGTTGAACTAAAATCAAACTGGATAATAATTTCGGGACAAAATGATTACTTATTAACATGGCAAAACTGAGAAGCAGTATATATAATCCGTCGGTTTGTTAATATTATCAATAAATTATAACAGGTTAATGTCTCGGCACTTGCTCCAACTTTGAAAAAGAATGCCACTGAAACTAGTCCACAAGTACGTCATAATCAGTGTTTCTAATCCTTAATCAGAATTCAATGTCTTGATTTCTTAATACAATTTAGTTTCCGTAACTTTTCAGGCGAATTTGATGACATCAGCTATCAAAGCATACGAAAGGCCTCCGCTTTCACCAATGGCACCCACAAGTCATGCCGTTTCTGATTTACTTGGTCGGCAATTGATGGTAAACCGGCTTCTTTCTTCTTCTTTTTTTTTTTTTTTTTGCTTCTTCTTCCTTTGCGACCGAGTATTACTATCTTCCTAGCACAGATTCCCAGATATTTTTGTGCGTCTTACTAGGTTATTTTGAACAGCAGCTCATGAAGCTCTCTTGACTTAACTGCTCAATTGCTGTATTCAATTGTTTAATTACACGTAGGTTGGACTTGGAGCTCGCAGTTTCGGCCAGGGTTATCCATCAACCACAGCAATGCCAAACGTCCCAGTTGTTCCGATGTGGAGCTTCTCCAATCAGAAATTTGTTACGACTCCTCCACACGTAACTGCAATCTACAACTGCTTCCCTTCTGTAGCTCAACAACAGACGGGAGGTATATTTTCAGTGCTTCCCGCATTTATTCCGCAGCGTGTAACTACTGCAAACGAATCAGCCAACAAGGATGCACTGATCTGAGTTGTACATTGTGATTTTGGAGTTCACACCCTTTTTTTTTCTCATAAAAGTTGGAATGCTCTGATCTGAGTTTTACATTGTGATTTTGGAGTTCACACTTTTTTCTTCTTTTTTTTTTTTCTCACAAAAGTTGGATTTTGGAGCAAAACCCCGGTGATTATGAACAATTGATTATTATTACAATCCTATAAGTTCCAAGTTGTTTTCGTGGTAAAATTAGAGTGTTTCAAATTGCGATGTAGCGTTTGGGATTATTATATTGTTTCAAGTCGCCGGTTAAATATTCCAAGTTTTTATGTACTTGCTCATCATGCTTCATATGTCCATCCAATTACCTTCGCTTTCAAATGTCCCCATTCGGATACCACACCGATATGCCAGAAATGGTTTTAACTAGTAAGCTCGACTTAAAACTTAAGAGTCGGGATTTCAACCACTTTTGCGGAAGAAATAGCAATTTGAAATAAACAGAGACAGAATCATAAACCAAATATACTACATAAAATGAACCTGAAGAAGCATTCAAGCAGAGATGGTTTTCACTAACGAATCAAATGTTGAATGAAACCAGACATACGGTTTTAACTTTTGCAATCAAATATTGAATATATTCGGACATAACAGTAACGTATCCAATAAATTTGAAAGAATAAAAACAAAGAACTGATTGGATGGTCTCTAATGTGACAAAACTATCTTGTCCAGCATACTATGAGAATGTTGTTACTAACTAGGATGGGCAGCAGCCACTCTTCTGGTTGACAGGTTGGCTCTTGATCTGAACAGTAGGAGGCCTAGCAGAGTTTGCAGATGGTTGACTTGCCATCCTGCAAAATTGGCATCATCAGTACGTCCATGTACCACAAATGGAAGATATAAATGGAAACAGACCAAGGCCGGATAATCACACAAATGGAAGATCAAAATGGCAACAAACCAAGGCCAGATAATGACTCAACAAGGAGATCATGCACACCAAACAGTGAATGTGAGAAAACTACAGTTAAGGAACCATCCACCATCATTGATTTCACGATCACTGTCGCTTATGTATATTGACATCCTAGAGCTGACTACAGAGTATACAACCAAGAACACAAGACTGAAATTTTAAAATACCTATTTTTTATGTCAGTTGCCATTGCCATGAAAGCTTGCTCAACATTGCTCGCGTTCTTTGCACTCGTCTCCATGAAAGGAATGCCAATTTCATCGGCAAAAGCCTTTTAACAACAGGAAAACAGGCCACAATGATCATTTACAACCAGAACACACCGGCAAAAGGAGACTGGAGAGGGGGGAAAAAGATGCAATACCTTGGCTGTATCATAGGACACAGCCCTATTATCAGCCAGATCAGACTTGTTGCCCACCAAAAGCTTATTTACACTTTCACTGGCATAACGATCAATTTCATTCAACCATTGCTTGACATTGTTGAAGCTTTCTTGGTCAGTTATGTCATAAACTATCTGCCATGATTAACAATAATCAAACAGATAACTTAGGGATCACGAATACAGATAACCAACACCAAACAACTCAACACTCGTGTAAATTAAATTAATACTGAAATACATACAATGATGCCATGTGCTCCACGGTAGTAGCTACTTGTTATCGTTCTAAAACGCTCTTGCCCAGCCGTATCCCACTGCATTAGAAGGAAGCAAACATTCCTGGAGTTGAGACCTCTAACCAAGGTTTAAACAATTAACCTCTCCTAAACAAATAACAATGGCTATGTAGCCCAACCCAGAGACTTCCAACTATTGCAAATGAATATGAAATTTATTCCTTAACATTGTTTTACAAATAAGGTTAGAACAGCTAATGACCAAAGATTTAATTAATTAACAAGCAACAGATGTTTACAAAGTAAATGCTATCAACAGGAAGAGACTCATATGAACAAAAAAAGGTCAAAATATCTTACAATTTGAAGTTTAATAGTCTTCCCATCTTGCTCAACAGTACGAATTTTCTGCCAGCATTCAAAAACTGGATCAGTGCACATAGCATAAGGTAAAATAATTTTAAGCAACATTGATCAGAAGATCTTACAAAGTCAACACCGATGGTGCTGATGTAGCTATCCAAATATGAATCATCCTGGTAAAACAAGAAAACCCCAAGGATATTAATAATGGAAGAGGAATTTTAATTCAACATATGAACGTGAGGACATCAATTGCACCAAGGTAGCATATTTCAAATAAAAGTTTGATTTAAGTTCGACCTCAGTAGTACAGTTTTACTGGGTAATACTCCAAACACTGAGTGAATTAAACACAAAATTTCATCCATTTAACAGCTAAAGCTTTTCAAAGACAAGTTAATTTATATTAAACAATCGCTAGTTGCTCTCATACAATAATTCATGGAATTCAGAGTTTGGAACAACATCTTAACAAATTTTTGAATATGATCAGTAAAGTTCAACACAGAAGGGAAAACTGAAAATCCCTTCTGCCTGTCATTTCAGGGAAGACTCAAAAACAATTCAAAGTAAAAATAGAGCACGAGATAACAAGAAAGCATTAGACTCACCGCAAATCTCAGCAGAAGACATGACTTGCCAACACCAGAATCTCCAATCAACAAAAGTTTGAACAAATAGTCACTGCCACACAAATGAAACAACAAAAAAGTGAGATGTCATCTCCTTTTCATCAGAGTAAGTAATGCAAATATATGCCAACAAACTAATCAAGTTCACATGATGTTGGTTAATCAAAAACATCTACACCAAGTAATTCCTCCAACAAAACCCAGCCACAGCCACAATGACTCCTTAATGACCGACAAAAATAAAGCACCTCCACCCTAACACTACCATCGTGAAATTCAAATTTAGATCATTTTAATACTTGTATTACTTGAGGGATCCGGAAACAAGGCATGGTTTGACGCTTCATCATGACAAAATGTATGAAAACACAAATCTCGTAAAAAACGTAAAATCATTGTAAGCGCGGTGATATCTTTCTTGTCGGAAAACGGAAGACAATGTGAAAATAAATGCGAGGACCTCTGCCAAACCCTAATATTACAGGAATGAACAAAGATCGAATGCTTACTATTCGGGATTCATGATTTGGAATGCGATACGGAAAACTGCAATTAGACGATTGATCCAAAATAATTGGAGCCGGAATTCGTGTTTCCGGCGATTAAAGATTCAAGGCGGGCCGGCGATGGAGAACCGAACGGAACAAAGAAGCGATGGGAGGTGGATCTTCAGGTGAAGTTTATTAGTGAAACTGTGATATGAATTTCGAAGTATTTATGCGCACCGACAGGCTGGAGGTTGGCTTCCGGTTTAGATGTCAATTTTTACACGGACCGGGAGGTCCGGAACCACGTTATTATTATTAAGAGCATTTTTTTTTATTTTTTTTTATTTTTCTATGAAATAAAGACAAGAAATTGCGTCCTTCTCCTAAATTTGGTTACATCCGCCATTCCACCCCCAACACTTCTAAAAATTGCAAATTGAATCTTGAAATTGTGCAAACTATTTAGTTGACCTTTTAAACTTTTAACGTGTGACTTGAGAGACTCACCAATCACCACTAATAAACATGTTCTATGTTGGAGTTGTCTAACTTTTCTTACTCATTTTAGGACCAATCATCTTTTTTTTTTGGTACAATAAAAGGAAGCACCATATCAAATTGTTTGTTCCCGCGTAAACATGAAAAAAATTTCTAATACTTCAAGTCTGATATTTTTTTTTATTTTAATTTTTTTAAGCAAAAGTTTCATGAGTGTCTATTCTAGGTGTTTATCAACCTTGTGTTTATCAGACCGAGAAGAGATGGAAGATGATGATAGTGAATTACATTCATAAAAAAATTCCAGTTTTGTGTATGCTATTGGCATCCCTTGCATGAAAATTTTAGCGTTGCCGTGGTAGATGGAACTCCACAAACTACTTCAATTTCGTAATTTAGGCAATTTGTATTACTATAAAATATAAAAAATCAACAACAATCATTTGAGGCAGAAAGATCGAATATGGGTTGGTTAAGCATTTGCACAACTAGAAAACTACATACTACGCACAATGGATATGCCTACTTCTGCACCGGATAGTTGAATATCAAAATAAATAAATAAATTACGGAAAACAAAATTAAAGTAGGAAAAAATGATATGTTATATGCTTGTCCGGTGCTCCATAGAGACAAATGCTGCACTTTCTGATAGACACTTGGATTGGTGAGAAATGTTGTAGTGGTACTAAAACGATCAATAAGCGCCATCCGGATTTAAGGGCTATGTGATTTTTAGAGCTGAGATTTGGTTGCGGCCATCTTGTGTCACAGATTCAATCTCCCCCAACTCCAGGGTTAGGTTCGACGTTTGAGTAACGTCGTTCTCTATGTCCCCGTCGATAGTCAACCCTTCAAGTTTTGCTGTTGCTGAGCTACTGCTACCTTGAATGTCCATCTCTACATGCCACAAATTGAACTCACTAAATCATGTGTTCAATGAAATTTGCTTATCTTTCTTTAAGAATAAACTTGTGCAACAACATGCAAATTCACATCGGTAAAACAATTTTTGACATTTAATTTAGAGGAAAACAATAATTATATTGTAAAAGGATACGTTTATGTCTGTTCATAAATTTGATCAATGGTGGGTAAGAAATGAAAGTCCTCTCAGAGAATGAAAAATTATATCCTTTCTATAATTTATGCCTTATAGTTAGATTCAAATAGAATAGTAACAATCTAAGTTTATGTTTCTTTCATTATATGATTATTAAAAAAAAGAAAAGTACTATCTCCGTCCTAAAAAAAAAATCCACATCGAGTTTTAAATTTGTACTAAAAACAGTACAAAACTCAATATGGACTATTTTTATGAGACGGAGGGAGTGTAACAGAAGTATTAGGTCAACCGGTTCATGCATTTTATGAATAAAAGTACTGACTATTAGCATTATGGTAAAAACTTCAAATCATTCATCTTATACACCCAGGTCCCACAGACGGAGGTGTTTAAATTTATGATACATCTCCAAAAATTCTCATTCCCTTTCCCACTCTTCAATCTCAGATGTCACTGCACCACAATATAGACATTGAAACCCCATCAAAGAAAAAGAAAAGATTTCTTATAGATTTTCCTCGTATATATATAGCCTAGTGGGGAAAAAGCTTTGATAGTTTGTAACCAAAAAAAAAAGAAAAAAAGAGTAAAGTTTGATAGTATCGGGTCAACACCCCCCAAGTCCTATCCTACGTTCATGTCCAATACCCTCAAAATTGGAGAAGATAGTATCCCTAAAATCATAGGCAATTTATTTAAGTCGAATAACTTGCAGATATATGTAGGACTATTGTTCTCTAATTAAATAGTATGCATGAGTGTAATAATGCATGTCAAGTTGTTTGTACTTTTGTGTATGCACAACCGAAAAAGAAATATAATTACCTAGATTAGAGAAGAACCATAGAATGAGAGCACAAAGAAGTAGCACCAAAGGAATAAGATGAACAGAGTTCTCTGCAAATCTTGCACGAAATCTCTCTTTCTTGATGGTTTCCGACAGAGGTTCATAATGAGTCGGTAATTCGCTTGATTCCAACGACAGTGCCCTGAGAGTGGTGGAAACTTTCGAAGTCTCAGTGACCCGATTAGTGCTAGCTGATCTGTACATCTTAGTTAAATTTAATATTTTTGTTGTGCTTGATTATTTTGATAGAAGAACAAAGAGGATTGAGTATTGCTGCGAGAAACTGTAAAAGAGGTGCAACTGAAAAGCCAAGCAAAAATAGGCGAAATATGTGAAAGTGGCTGTTGATTTGGTAATACGGAAAGCATTATATTTTTGGACCAAATCCAACGCTGTCACCGAAAATTCTGGGTGTTAGATTAGTTTTTTACTGTGTTAACTTAAATCAAAACTATATATAGTACAAGTCAAAAAGTTTAAAAAAAAAAAAAAGAACTATATATAGTAACTAATTAAACCATTGAAATGCTTTGCTTAAGCCTATGTATTAAGCCGGTCAGAAGCCCAATGTTTTTCCAATTGGACATCAATTAATACTAGTGCCTTAAACTTTCTACCGCACTGCATATTTGCACAAAAAAATTGCAAAATTACACAGAAATCATGCTTACACGAATGTATCTCAATTTTATTTTTCTACATTGAGAGTTCGCTACAGATTAAGTCGTTGTCCAAACACCAACGACAGACGGGTTGTAGACACTGACAAAAAAACAAAAACAAAATTTAAAAAGTTACATACTTAATACTACTCTATCCCAAAATAATAATTCAGTTTGGTCGCTTTTAGTACAATTTATATTAATATTAAAAAATCAAATTGAAGACAATTATTTCGGAATGAGTGGAGTATTATTCTATACATTCCTTCTTTGTTGACTCTTATTTTAAGTGCTGCTAACTAATTTTTCCCGAGAAAAAGAAGAAACAACAACACTTCATCTCATTCTATTTAAGAAAAGAAAAGAAACCCATTTTTAGGAACTTGAAGATTTAATATTGCACTGGCCCGTCGTCGAGAAAATAGTGCAAAACCAGGACTTACCACTTGTGCAACATTTTTAAAGGGTGCCATTCTTGAAAAGCCAAAGCCGAAGCGGAAAGTAACTAATCATTACGTTTAAGCCTTAGAGTATCAATGAAAAACTTCCCATCAGTAATATCATTCTTAGAAATGAAATCCAGTAATTCTTCGAAACTGCTCTCTCTGTAACCTTTCGGGTTTTGTTCATTCACAAGTTCAGGGGCAGTTTCCATTTTCTCATTCAGCGCCAGGCTATGAAGGCTAGCAATTGATACTCTGGTGGTATCAGAGCTGAGTTTGACCTTATGAATAACGCTTTTATACATCCCATTGCTCAGAACCTCCACGCAATCACCGACGTTAACTTGTAAAGCGCCGTGAATATTCGGGACATCGCTCCATTTCCCGTCGGACGGGTCCTGAATTTGGAGGCCAGAGGAGCTCTGAAGGACGATGGTTACGCACGAGTAGTCGGAATGCGGCGAGAATCCTAATGCGAGATCCGGCTGTGGGCATGGTGGATAGCAGTTAACCACAATCGTCTGGCTTCCTTCTTCCATTTTGGCACTCATGTAAGCCGGGCCAAGGCCCAAACTCTCAGTGATGGCTTCCATGAGCGAGACTCCTAATTTATGCACCGCTTTTGAGTATTCACTCATCTTTTCCCTGTCAAACATAATCATTAGAATTTAGATATTTCGAATGAATTATTTCTGGGAATAATTGGATGATATGGCAGAGGGATTAATTGATGTTTATGTAAGTGTTACCTGTATTCCTGTGGAGTTTCGGGCCAGAGTGAAATGTATTGATCAAGAGGGTTCGCATAGTGTTTGAGAAATGTCCTCCAGTTTTGAATCTTATCCAATCCATCTTTTATGCCTGTTCCGTATCTCACGGGGTTATGGACGTCATTGGACATGAATTTGCTCTTCTCCTTGTTTGAGAGATTAAAAAATTTGAAAGCTGCTGAAAGAGCATCGTCCAGAACTCTCTGGGATATCCCGTGGTTGACAATCTTCCAAATAAGATATGGAAGATACAAGTCAATTTTTAAATAATATTAACAAATGAAAAAAAAAAAGGTTAAATGTTTATATTACGTAATACATGCATGCTAGCTCCTCTCTCGGCCCATCTTAAAATCTTCTTTTTTACTATTTTTAGTTTTAGATTTGCATATGTTTTATACGAAGACATAAAGGCAAAAAATGGTGGAGACAGGAGACCATGTTCCGACCAATTTGAATTATAGACTTTAGTCACTCCTTTTTATTATTTACAAAGAAAAAAAAAAGAGAGAGAGAGAGAGAAAAGTTACTACCTACGAACTTATAAAAATGGTTGTCTTCATTTGCCTTTACTAATAAATGTAAAATACAATTATTAAAAAAAAATAAAAATAATGAAGTAGAATGTTACTTCATTTTCACGTGCCAAAAGGGATTTTTAAGAAAAAACAATTCTCCAACTACGATTAAACTTACTTGAAAGAAGCCAACATCCTTGCAAGCTTTTGAGATGTCTTCAATAATGGGTGATCGACGAGCAGGATTATTGGTCAGTCCATCCAGGTCAATAACCGGAATATCATGACCGGTCGATTCGGTCGTCAAACTAGGCCTATTTAGAGGCGGAACGTAGTAAGATTTAGGAACATGATCAAAACCACCTTTCTCCTGTGGAGTTTCGCCCATCGGAAAAGGACCCGGACTATCATTTTTAGCCTCCATGAGTACTCTCGACTTGATCCTCTCAAAACAATGTGCTATATCAAAGAGACAAAAGAACAAGACACAAGTTGGATATCAGTCTGCATTCTGGTTTGGGGTATTTATAGAAACAATGAATCAAATGGCGCAAGTTGCATGAATTGTATGACGGTTTTTTAAATAACGTAAATTAATTTAATGTCACAATACTGATTCTAGTACGTCGAATGAGGACCTTTTGCAAAGGATGTTGTACATTCAGCAGGGTTCATGTAATTAAGCAGACAAGGAATTAATTGAATATTCATCTTTATCTCTTCAATCTATTAAAAGTACTTATTTGTTTGTATATACAGTTTTTCTTCGGACACTTTCTCCCTGTACGCGTTGCACGAATTACGTGGGCGCGTCTCCATATATAGGCATCCACCACCGCCTGGCAACCCAGTGACGACGGCAGATGAAATGGGACTTAACGGCTGGGACGAGGTCCTAGTACGTTAAACAAACGTCCAAATTCTACCTTTTTGATCAGTCGACGACTCCGGTGGCGTAGGCCACCACTGTAGAGTCCGTGTTCTGTACAAGTTGACAAGGGTTTGCTTTTCCGCCTGCCTTTTTTTTTTATAGCTAAGCACAACAGAATTCAGGAATCAGGACTAATGTCTTCAAGGCGATGCATGATGACTGACGGAAGGCGCGGACGAGGTTGTTACTTCAAACTCCCTAGTATAATAAGCCTCCTAATTAGTTTAATCAAGTTGGTGTGTTTCATTTTACCGGGATCACGGGGGGATGGATGAATGGCAACAACTCCATTTTAGTCCAGATTTATACATGACAAAGTTTGGCTTTACCAGGTCCAATAAATGCAGTTTAGTATTTTGGCGGCAGTAAAAAAGCCTGGAGACCGAATCTGGCCTCCTTTTAATTGTATTGAACCAAAAGACTAGCATTTCAGTAGGTGGCAAAGGTATAGCTCAGGTGAAGTGCCATGTGTTACCACTCATGGATTTACAATATTGGTCAATTAAAAAATGGAATGAAAATTTTCTGTTATAACAGAAAGCAACGGACTGAAGCAAACAAAAATGTCTACTTCACTTTGTTCCATTTCGATCTCTTTTACATTAAATCAATCCAAAAACTTTAATTGCACTGGTCCTCAAATTAAGATTTTATTCCCGATTCATGAACAATCTAATCCGAATTCAGCTTTGTTGCCGTGTTGATTTGATGGTTTTTTTTGCCCTTCAGGATGTGATAGGCTCAGTACAAGAGTAGTATAATAAAGTTATGTGCTTCCTAGTTTTAAATATGAAATAAATTTGAACTGAGTTTAGTGTTAATTTATGCCTTTTCATTATGACCCTAGAGAAGAGAGTATATAATTAATATGTAGATTTCATATTATCACAAAATGCTCCTTCCGATAGCACTTATATTAGACAGATATTATTAAAGTTAAATTCAGAATAAATTTGAACCTCGTGTATAATATTACCTTTGTCAGAAAAATAGTCACAATAATATAAAATAAACGTACTATTTTATCAGAGGAAATACTTTTGATTACTCCAATTGGTGTTCCAATTTATAAAGTAGATCATAATATCAATGTGTGATGCTGTTATTCCACGACTTTATCTCACGAACCCGTATGATCAGCGCAAATTATAAGGGGCAACCGGTACTGCCAAGTTAGGGAGCTCCGGAATGGGAGCGTGTAATACACACTTAAAAAGTCGCGTATAATATATTTCAAAAAAGGGATACAACTTATACGCATCATCACGCTTTTTTTTTCCCTCTCTTCTCTTGCCCCTTTTAGACCTAATTGAACTAATTAAAACTTAGAACTTCATGCGATTCTTTGACGGCGATCTTCCGACTTCAATTCAGGCTTCAATTCAATTCGATTTAGTTTCCTGACGGTGATTCTAAGGTAATGTTTCGATTTGATTTAGTTTCCTATTTCAATTTGATCTACTTTGAATCTCATCGGCTGTGTCGAATGAATTGAAACTTTACCAGCAACAACGTAAAAAAAAATTCAGAACTATGTGATTTATTGTGTTTTTTGTGTTTGTTTTAGTCTGGTAGATGAGCTGTTCGGAAAGAATGTGTGCCATCGTTCCTTATTCAAGTGAAGAATCAAAGGATGAAAACATCGTTAATGCGGAAGGATTTGATGAAAGTGTCGTTTCTGTTGGAGTTGAACCTGAATTTCTTTATAATTGGATGAATTTCAATATTTTGAATGTTTTTGATGAATTTTTAAGGTCATTGACTGCATTTCCTGTATATTTTCTGCCGTGAGCATTGTAGTTTTGTAGGATGAACATTTTGAATTTTAGATGAACTGTAGTTCATTATGTACTGAAATGACTATTTTAGTTTTGTGAGATGAACATTCTGAGTTTTAGATGAACTGTAGTTCATTGTTTACTGAAATGACCATTTTAATTTTGTGATATGAACATTCTGAGTTTTAGATGAACTGTAGTTTATTGTTTTCTGAAATGAGCATTTTGGTTTTGTGAGATGAAAATTTTAGTTTTAGTTTAATGAGATGAGCATTTCATGTTTTTTTTTTTCTGTTTTTTATAGATTTAGATCTTCTTGGCCGTGAATTCAATTCAATTGGTGATGCGTATATATGTTATGAATTATATGTGAGGAGACATGGTTTTGGTATTAAGAAATTTAGAAACAGATATAGGGCGGGTGGCGAATTGCACGTGAAACAGTTTACTTGTAATAAACTAGGGAAGAAAAAAAGTAGAGGATGCAGGCCTCGATGCACATTATAATTTTACAGGATGAGCATTAGGGCTAGCAATCCGTGTCATGTCCGAGTTGGCGTGTCGGGGCAAACCCGAACCCGAATAATATACAGCCAACCCGGACCCGACCTGTATAAATAAATAGGTCGAGTTTTACAACCCTAACCCGACCTGAAAATATTCAAGTCACCCGTAACCTGACCTGCTAACCCGAAGTTCTAAAAAAAAAAAAATCTAAAATCAAGAAAAACTAAGATTTGCAGTCCAAATAACACAATCTGAAGTCTGAAAATTCCAAATTCCAAATCACACAAATTACAATCCTAAAATCCAAATCGCCAGATGACATATTACAACTTAAAATCCAAATTACCAAATTACAACAACCTTGATCCAAACAAGTAACGAATCAACATTCAAATTACAACATTAAATCCAAATTACAACCTTCAGAGTCTTAACCAAGAGAGGGAAATTAGATGACATTCATCATTTGAGACTAACACAAGAGTTTCAACTCCCCAAACTTCAACCGTTGATTGAAACATCAACTTCATCAGCATCGGTCTCACTGCCATCAACCTTAAAACCAATATCAAATTCAGCTTCTTTGTCAATAGGTTCCATTCCTAGTTTTCTACAAAAACAGAGACAACAAACAAAAGATTTCAGTGATCGACCCAACTTAAGAACAAACCGAGAAGCACAAGGTTAGTCGCAAAAAAAAGAAAAAACAGAACATGAGATCAGTTTATACCAGTTGGAGAGAGGAGACGAATTTCCTATAGTTTGTTGAAGCTCCTACAAAGGTAAAGAGAAGCACAAGGTTAAAGATTCGTAGTAGCAAAAAAAATAAAAAAATCCAAAGTCTTGAAATGCTTTATTTGTCTATATAACATCAACCAACTAATTTGATCCCCCTGCTTCATCATCCTCCTTGGGAGCAAACTAGCCCAGTAAGAAAATGATTGAAAAACTATGATTGTCACCCAATACAACGGGATACTTATATATAGAGAATCAATCAATTGAGCCCACAAAACAATCACCCCCGTGAAGAGAAAAATAGTTTCTAGAGTATAGGAAAAAATCAAAAGAATTTAAGTCAAGAATAAAGACAAAGTTTCACCGATTCAAAATGATTCAGTGAATCCAAAGAGCACACTTTTTTGTGCTCTCAAGATTCAAAATTTAAGAATCTGGTAGAAACCCTTTTGGCTCTATATACAAAAAATCTGAAATATTTTTAGAAAACGGAATGAAATCAAATTTGTTGGAGGAAGAAACAAACCTGAGGCACTACGTTGAAGGATGACCGGCTAAACGATGGGTGAGAGGATCTGAAGAAGAAGAAGAGGGGTCCGTCGCCGTCGGCAGAAAATGATGATCGATATGATCGAAATCTTGGTCAGAGGAAAATGATAGTTGATGAGCGGGGAAAAAAAATTCGGGAAGAACACAAATAAATTAAGTGATAATTTGGAAAAAATTAGAGCCGCCGCAAAGAAGAGTAGTAGAAGACGGAAACCCTAGAGTGAACTGAAAAATTTGTGTCGGATGAAGAATAAGGAGTATATATATATATATATGAGTTGAAATTAGGGTTGGGATGGTAGAAAAATTCCCAAATTACCCCGACAATATACATAATTTATATATTTACGGGTAACTCGCCGGGTTGACCTTAATCCGACCTGTATAATAAACGGGTCGATCTTAACCCGACCTATTTATTATACAGGTCCAAATTTCCAACCCTAACCCGCTTATTCCGTGTCGGGTTCGTGTCAAAATTCTGAGTCGTGTCGGAGATTGCCATCCCTAATGAGCACCAGGTAGTACAAGATGCACATCACGTTTCCTTTGATGAACTTTAACGTTTTGCAGTGAACTTGAGACATAGGATGAACGTTACAGTTTTGCAGGATGAGCATTCGCTTCATTGAAGTGAACATTGTAGTTAGAAAGATGAGATATCATATTTGTACAATATTTTTTCCCAATAAAAAACGTTTGAATTTAGGTTAAAAATTACAATTTTATAGCATGTGTATTGTACGTTGTTCAACCAAATTAAAAAATTTTAAATTTTTGTGCTGAGAAATGATTATCCGTGTCGGTTTAGGGTTTAGGGTTTATGGGAGTTTAAGCATTTCAATTATAGGTTAGGGTCTAATTTCTGTCGGGAAACGATTAACCTTTTAAATTTTTTAAAACCGATTAGGCTAGGGTCTCGCGGTTTAAAAAAATTTCAACCAAATTAAAAAATAAAAATAAAAAAATTCATCTTCGTG